AGCAGTTCAGGATGTTTACCTTCGTCTACGAGCGCAGGGGTTCCCAATTAGCCGTGTGCATGCGGATAGAGCGAGAGAACTCCGAAGTGATCCTTTGAGACGGTGGTTGATGGAGCGTGGAACCTATGTGACGTACACCGAAGGGCAAAGCCCCCAGGCAAATGGTCGCGCGGAGGCAGCCGTGAAGTATGCAAAGACGCAGACGAAGAGGTTGCTGAAAGCCGGAAACTTTGCCCCGAAGGTGTGGCCGATGGCTATGAGATACGCAATGTGGGCACAGATGCAGAAGCAGATGAACCCGCACAAGGCCCTCATTCCCTTTGGCACGAGGGTTCATGTGAAGAAGAAGATGTACGGAGTTGGTGGAAAGTTTGACCTACAATCAAAGTGGGGTCAAGGCTTCTACATGGGGCCAAGTGCTGATGTCAACGATGGAAGCGTCGTGATGATGGACAAAGGGAACTTCATAACGACCAGCCATATGCGCCCAGAGTTGATAGATGCCGACAGGGAAGTAGAGCTCGAAGAGTTCCAAGCTATCATCTCAACCCCGGCGAGGAGATTGAGAAGAAAGTCTACCTTGAACCCTGGAGATTATGAAGGAATCAATCCACCACCCGAGGAGAAGAATAGCGACAACCCCGAAAAGAATGCCCCGTACGACCCCAACCATCCGGCGGAGGAGTTTGCGAGAACTGTGCTGAGGGAGAACGTGATCCTGCGGGATTATGTGGAGTCGTTGGCGCATCTTCTACCACCAGAAGGAGCAAAGCCGAAAAGGTTTGGAGAAAGAGATGATGAAGAAGTTGTATGGTCCTCTGGTGCGTACGTGTTCGGTGGGATGGTTGGTGTGAATAGCAACGCTAAGAGCTTCCCGAGGACGACGAGGGTTCTATGTGAGTATCTGAAATCTCAATGTCCAGGTGCAAAATTCAACAGTGTTGCTGTCTTCAGAAACATCAAGGCCAAGAAGCACAAGGACGCACACAACGTGGGCCAGAACATTGCGGTGCCTATTGGTGACTTCAAGGGCACAGATATTATCGTCAACCGAGGAGGAGAGGATGTGGTGTTGAAGGTCAGTGATGGCCCTCAGCTCTTTGACCCTCATGAAGAGCATGAAACTACGCCATGTACCGAAGGTACAAGTTTGATCTTGGTTGGATACTCAGTTCGGGACAGTGCGAAGCTGACGGAGGATGAAGTCAAGTACTTGGAGTCATTGGGCTTCTATTGGGAGCCTCATCGTGCGACCGAACCGGGCCCAAGGTTGTCTATGATGATGAAGGCCGAGGTCAAGGGCAATAAATCAAGCCATATTGGGGACGAAGCTGTAGAGGGCATGGCCAAAGCTACAAGTGACCTTGATGTGGCGATCCAGGATTTGGAGGAAAGGGCTGTTCGACTACGAGATCTACTTGAGGAGGAGGAAATCATGGTCGAGCAGTCAAGACGGCTCGGTGAGGCGGTGAGGGATGAGCTTGAGGATACCAGAACTCATGTGGTAAAGTACCTTGAAGAAGTCCATAAGCAGCTCACGCAGTTTCAAGGTCTACGAGATGGCATTTTCCTCAAGGCGGCCCGAGCATCCAACCAGGACACCGAGCAAGTGGACTACGAGGCCATGTTAGACGATTTGGAAGGAGACTTGGACGTCATTCACACGGTCCCGCTCGACCAGGTCAAGGCCGTGTTGGAAAAGTGGAGCCAAGCGATTGACAAGGAGATCCAGTCCCTGTTCGATTCAGGAACGTTGACAAAGGCGACACCAGGTGAAGCGAAGGCCTTGGAGCGTTCAGGAGGACTAAAGATTGTTCCTTCCAAGTGTGTTTTCACGCTCAAACCGCCCTCCAAGCCCGGAGGAAAATGCCGGAGGAAATGCAGGTTGGTTATATGCGGAAACTACATCCAGAAGGACGAGGCCGGGGACCAGATGGATCTTTACGCGTCAGGCACGAGCACAGAAGCCCTCCGCTTGGCGTTAACCTTAGCAGCAGCGCGGCAGTGGCTAGCAGCCATTGCCGATGTGACTTCGGCGTTTTTATTGGCCGAGTGGCCACCTAATCTGCCCAAGTATGGCCTGACGCCACCGAAGGTGGTTCGAGATTCCGGGCATGCAGGGCATGAAACATGGGTGGTGCAGCGGCCATTATATGGGTTGCGGGAAAGCCCCGTAATCTGGGCTGAGTTTCGCAACGCCAAGCTGCGGGGAATCAAAGTGGTGGTTCGTGGTCGGACGCTGGGGTTAAGTCCTATGGTATCCGAGTCTGAAGTATGGCTCATCAGAGACCAGGTTACATCCGAACTATTCGGCATTTTGGTGATTTATGTAGACGACCTGATGTACCTGGCGGAGAAGTGTGTAATCGAGGCACTGCACAAGGAAGTGAACTCCCTGTGGGCTACATCAGAACTGGAGTGGATAGGATCGAGCAAGACGGCCCGCTACCTCGGCGTGGAGATCAAGTACCAGGTGGACAGCAGAGCATACAGCATAAGCCAGCAAGCATACATAACAGAGCTCCTACGCACGCACAACATGCAGGATGCGCCGCACACACAGCTGCCGATTCCGAGGGAATGGTTGGAGTCTGCAGAGAACGAGGAAGAACCTACGTTGGATTTTTCTGAAGATGATCTGCGGGCTGGACAAAGGGCAGTTGGGGAGGCGCTATGGCTGGCGATGAAGACTCGCCCTGACATACTGTATGTCGTGAACAGTATGTCCTCTAACGTTGCAAAGAAGCCAATACAGGTTGCAAGGATGGGGCAGCGCCTTCTAACGTATTTGAAGGGCACTGCAGACTTGGAACTGATACTGGCGCCAGCTGCAACTGAGGAGGAGAGGCAGTTGATCTGTTACACGGATGCCAGTTTTGCCCCGTTTGGGGGGCGGAGCTATGGAGCTACAGTGGTGGTGTGTGGCCATGCGGCCATAGCATGGAAGGCTGGGCGCCAATCCTTTGTCACGATGAGTTCTATGGAAGCCGAGCTTTATGCAGCAGCTCAGGGATACAACCTTTTGGAGTCTCTGTTTGCCGTGGTGGATGAGATAGAGCCGGGACTTTACGACAAGGTCCTGGCCATTGACAACACCAGTGCTGTTGCTATGTGCCAAGGGGGAGCAGGAAGCCAAAGAACAAGACATTTGAAGGTCAGGGCTCAGTACATTCGAGAGGCAGTGGCCAAGGGCAGGCTTCGCGTGCGACACACCCCAGGAGCTGTTCAACTAGCAGATTTGGCAACCAAAATGGTAACCAAAGAACGCCTATGGCAGTTGTTGGATCTTTGGGGCTTTGTTGGAGGCAGGTTGGCAAAGATGATAGACGCAATCAAGATGAAGATGATGATGTTTGTGATGATGGTTGTATCTATGATCAAGCCTGCGGACGGGGCTCCAATGGAAGAGATTGCCAAGGAGGCCATTCAGGTTTCGGGTGTGGAAGAATTGCTGCTTGTGACTGTGCTTGTGTGCGTGTCTACGGTGGCAATGTGGGAACTGGGAAAATTCCTCTTGAAGCTGGGTATCAAGCAGTACAAAGGAGTACGAAAGGCCCGGAAGCTTGAGGCAGTGAGACGCCTTGCGGCGGATGCCGCCTTGAGAGAAATGAGGAGTGCTACTACGCTGGGTGGGTCAGATGATGATGATCCCCCTACGACAACGGCTCCCAGGACACCACAAAGGACGCGTACAAGAGCTACTTTGAGATCTCGAGTGACTACAGCAGAGGAGCGGGAGTATGCGTCGACCCTGGTCCCAGAAGTAGAACCTGCAGTGAGTCCCAGCATGGGTTCCGAAGCCATGCAAGATGATTACAGAACCAAGGCAGTGAATGATGTATCGGACAGGACCAGGATCATCAGAGACACTTTGTCTCTCATGACAGTGGAGGCCTTGCAAGAGGGCCTAAGGAAGACTGGAAACCCAGTCACGGGCATAAAGCAAGACTTGGTTGCGCGGCTGAGTCCTGAACTTGGCCTACGAGAGCCAGGACCTGGAAGCCTACACCCAACGTCAAAGCAGCTACGCTACATTTTGTGGCTATGGCGTCACAAAGACCTATCAGGGCGGGTGGCCCTGAAGTGGGATGATTTAGCATCCCGAACGGCGACGTCACGCTGGCTTGCAACGTGGAAGTGAATGAATTAGGGTCCCAGCACTCCTTATGTAAAGTACTTGCTCTCCGAGGGAAGCAAGTAAGGAGGAGTGTTGAAGGAT